GCCAAGCACCCCCCAGGGCCCACCCCCAAGCTTTCCCAGAGCTGAGTCAGCACAGACCCTTTCCACAGCCCTGCCTCCTGCCTCCAGCCATTTGTCAGCTGCAGGTGGGAGGGGGGGAGGGCTGAAGGGAGGTATCTGTGTTCCCTGCATGAGCCCTGGGATTCGGTACCTGTGTCCCCAGGCCATGCCCCCACACCCCATCACAATGCACCCCATGATATACACACAGATCTGAAATGGAGCCCAGGAGAACCCCTGTGCTTGGGTGTAGTTCCACAGACTGCAACCATGGCTCCTGCATACCCACACAGCAGGTGGGCACAGTCCCATGGACTGCAGCCCTGGCTCCTGCACACCCAGCCATGCATGAGTGCAGACCCATGTACGGCAACTCTGGTTCCTGCACACCACATCTCAGTGGCCAGAGTCAGGCACCCTGCCACCCAGACCCCAGCATGCCGCCCCACCCCAGGCAGGAGCTGGTGTAGGCAACTTGTCTCTGGTGGTCAGGGTGGTAGGGGCAGCACATTGGGACGGGCCTGCATGGAGGCAACCCTGTGACCTCTGTGGCTCAGCCAGTGTCTGCAGGTACCTGGGCACCTGGGGTGCTGCATTTTTGGCTCGTAGCTACAGGGTCCCAGAGTACTAGGGCTAGGGGCATTGGGTGGGGGAGAATTGAGCATCCAAACGGGCAAGCAGACAGATGCTGCTGGAAACTTCAGGAGCAGGCAGGGAATGCATTGACATGGCAGGAGGTTGGGGATGTGCTCACTCATGCTTGTCAGCCAATCAGGAGTGGACCAGGCAGTTGGCTGTCCCTGGCATTCTCTGGTAGCCCATGGAGCTTGTGGGGCCTTCTGGGAAGTGTGCAAGAGTGCCCTCAACCTGCTGGCCTTAGCCAGTACAGGCAGACTGCATTTCCACCCCCACCTCCACCAAAGGGTGAACATATGTTCTGTTTGCTACTGATGTAACCTAGGCTGCTTACAGAAACCCATATAAGTTAGATTGATTCCTCCTCAGGCATTTTGAACATCTGTACCTGGCCCAAGGGGGTATCCTATTATACAGACCTGTTTATCCTAAACTCATGACAGAGCTATGAGCTAGAACGTAGAGGTTTTAACATCACCCATTGAGGTTTCAGGTGGTTTAATTTTTCTGAGGCGGAGGTCAGGTCCTAAAGTTTATATAAAAAAATATATCAAAAACTGTATTGAAAGATGCACCTCTATTAAATCCACTTCTTTAAAAAAGCTGGGCTTTCCCAAATGAAACATTGCTAGACCCGATTGGTTCTCAGACTTGCCAAAATGTCCTCATTCCTTCTGCTGTTCAGGAACTTGATAAGCAATATCAGTTAGCCATTTCCTCCTACATTAAAAAAAAAAAAAAGGGAACCAGACCCTTTCCTGTCATTTTGTTTCTCTGTGACCATAGCAATTTAGGAACCATAAAATATAGGGTAAAATTAGCTACTAACTCAAAATGTCTATTTGAAAACAGTTCTCTGAATTGCTCCTGGGAAATTTAGTGCCTCTCTCCTTAAAATATGTTGGCAGAATTCCAAAGGGTATTTCAGAAGTTATTGCAGAATCAATGAAATTCACTATAGCCTTGAGCATATTTTTACTGGGTGGGAACTAAATCATGCAAGCACATGTCCTGAACATTACATAGTGCCAGTGAGTGCTTTGTACCAACAAATAAACCAAAGGGAAGGGTTGTTGTTAAATGTTTTAGTATCAACATTCCAGAGCGTTAAACTGGCACACACAACTGAAATCTCACCACTGAATAAGGAATACAAAGATTTTTCAGGCTCATACATTTTGAGGGTTTTTTCAGATGCTTTATGAAAATATATGTTTGTTTAAAACTGGTTCTGGCTGCTTCAGTACATTAGGGATTTTAACTTTTCACTGCATGACTCTGCAGAGCTCAGTTACAAGGGTAAAACGGTAGCAAATGCAGTTCACCTTCTCAATTCTCATTTTCTTTAGTTTTAAATGCTCCGCAGTCAGAGCTGGTATTTTTGGAAAAAGAATGGAAGATGGAATGTCACACACCTCCACTCCAGATTAAAAAAAACCCCAGACTTGCTAGTTCCCTGACTCATGTCTGTCATTCTCATGCCCTTCTCTGCCCTGATCTTAATGAACAACATAATCTCACTTTTTATAAATGAATGCAATTATGTGTGCAGCTGAGAAAACCAGGAATGGTTCTGTTTTCAGGAGATGTCTCTGTCTGTCTTAGAGAACTATTTTCCCTGCTTTTTTGTAAATCTGAAGAGAATGCTTACAGGAACTGGTCATGAATTTCTAATAACACTTCTGTATTAATACTCATTAATCAGATAAACTGTTTTCTGGAAAAGTTCAGTTTTGATGAATTTCCTGACTTGGAAGATTTTTTCCCTGAAAAGAACCCTGACATTTTCCAAAAAATCTATTATTGACAACTAATAAAAAGTTTTATTTTAATAATATTTTGTTTAGAAATATTAGTCAATTTATTCTAGATTGCTAAAAATAAGTTAAAAAATAAAAGACTGACATCAGATTAATTTGGTTTCCTATAATAAACATGAAACATTTTGAAACACACACATTTTTTTTCCAGATTTTCAGCTTGCAAAAATATTAGAGAGAGCTTATGTCCTTTCTTATGTTCTCAGGAAAAAATGCCAGTCTCTTGAAAGTTCTTGCATGACAGAAAGCTGTTTTCCACTAAGCTGCAGGCCACTTGACCTGTGGAGCTTGACAGAAGGAAGGGCAAACCCATGAGCACTTCAAGCACCACCTCAAAATATAATGTCCTACTACTCTGGGGAGCCGGAGGAAAAGCAAGGGCAACATTGGACCCCTGTTAAACCAGATGGGACAACTGACAACTGATGCCCAGGAAAAAGCAAATTTGCTAAATGGGTAATTTGCATCAGCTTTTCACCAGTCCCATGGGACGCCCCTGCCCACTGGGGGCAGGGAGGCCCGGGTGAGGGAGATTCCTTGCCCTCCGTCAAAGCTGACCTCATAAAGGAACACCTTGACAGGCTGGATACCTTCAAATCAGCCGGCCCTGACGGTTTACACCCAAGGGTACTCAAGGAGCTGGCAAGCATCATAGCCTAGCTCCGGGCACGGATCTTTGAGAACTCCTGGTGCTCTGGTGAGGTGCCCAAAGATTGGAGGAGGCCAATGTGGTGTCTATCCTCAAGAAGGGGAGGAAAGTAGATCCAGCAAACTACAGGCCCATCAGCCTGACCTCTATCCTGAGGAAGGTCTTGGAAAAGATTATCAAAGAGGCCATCCTTAATAGACTAGCCGATGGCAATACCCTGAGGGATACCCAGCATGGGTTTGTTGCGGGTAGATCTTGCTTGACCAATCCCATTTCCTTTTATGACCAGGTGACCTATCACCTGGACAAGGGGCAAGAGATTGATGTCATATACCTTGACTTTAAAAAAGCTTTTGATCTGGTATCCCACGATCACCTCTTGGCAAAACTGGCTAACTGCAGCCTCGACCTCACCACGATCTGCTGGCTGGGGAATTGGCTCCGCAGTAGGACCCAGAGGGTGGTGGTTGATGGAAGTCAATCATTGTGGTGTGCTGTGACCAGTGGGGTCCCTCAAGGCTCTGTCCTTGGGCTTATACTTTTTAACATCTTCATCAAAGATGTAGATATTGGTGTCAGAAGCAGACTGGCCAATTTCACCGACAACACCAAACTCTGGGGTAAAGCATCCGCACCTGAGGACAGGAGGGTGATCCAGGCAGACCTTGACAGGCTCATAAAATGGGCGGATGAGAACGTGATGGTGTTTAACACTGAAAAATGCAAGGTTCTCCACCTTGGGAGGAAAAACCTGCAGCATGCACATAGGCTCAGCAGTACTACACTGGTTAGCACTACAGATGAAAGAGACTTGGGGGTCATGATTGACCACAAACTGAACATGAGCCTTCAGTGTGATGCTGTGGCTAGTCAAGTGGGCAAAACACTGGCCTGCATCCATAGATGTTTTTCAAGCAAATCCCAGCACGTCATTCTCCTGTTGTACTCACCATTGGTGAGGCTGCTGCTGGAGTACTGTGTCCAATTTTGGGCTCCACAATTCAAAAAGGATGTGGAGAAGCTTGAGAGAGTGCAGAGGAGAGCCACACACATGATCAGAGTTCAGGAAAACAGACCTTTTTGATGAGAGGGTGAGAGCCATGGGACTCATCAGCCTGGAAAAGCGCGGGCTCAAGAGCGATCTGGTGGCTATTTCTATTAATAGAAATATATTTCAAATAAAGAAATTGTAAGTGTATTTGCAAAAGCTAAATTTTTCAGATTTTTTTTATACACACACATTCATTTCCAAAGCTATCATAGTATTGAACAATTTAGACCCTACTGAAATCTCAGATTATGCAAGTCTTTTGGAATCTTTGAAACTTGAGATACTTCTTTTTCACTGTTTGCATGTTTGAAGAAACAGCAGGTGTGTTTTGAAAATCGAGTTGTTTGTGTTAAAACTTAGTAAAAGTCAGATAATGGGTGATGTTTCACTGCCCAGCACTTTCCCAGGTTTCTTGTTTTTAAAAAAATTGAATTTTCACTATTTTATGAATTTTATTTTAATTTTTATTGCTTATTTTATTTTATGAATATTCATTCATAAGGAATGAATTAAAATGGAAAATGTGAGGCCTTAGTGTCCAACACAACTCCCATTCGAATCAATGGACAACATTCCACTAATTTCAATGAGAGTCACTCAGATGGGATTTTTTTCTTTCAGATTTTAATAGAATCTGATTTCCTCTGTTACATTTTTACCAACTTGCATAGACATGTTCGTTAAGATGACAAACAACCTCATCTGACTTTGTGGCTGCACCTTAATCTCATGAGAATGTGTACATGTACACGCACGCACGCGCGTGCACACAGACACACAGATGCATATGTATATGTTTATGTTTATACATTTATGTTTCCTTTAGATCTCTCAGAAGGATTCATCACTGAATAAAATGTCAACGTACAGCATTCAAAAATCATCTAATCAAACCGGTAATGCTGCTGCTGTTTTATTTTCCTACTTTCAAAGCATTTAAACTATTGCAGAAACAATGAGTTCTTCTTATTGCATTTATGCAGTATATGATTGATTCAAGTGCTATTTAGCCCTGTTTATTCTCATTTAAACAGGGTCCCTTCCTCCCCATGACCATATTCTAAGAAGGGCAGACTAATTATTTGAACGGGCAATGCAAATGAGGATCCACTTGGGAGGCAGAAGTTGCAGAACTGTTTGATTTTTATCAGCACTCTTTCTGGCTGAAGGGCTGTGTATGCCAACATCACAAAAAGAAGGTGGTGATGAGGAGAGAGAAACAGCAGGGTCAGAGATGCTTCCTACTTGCTGGTGCCTGTGGTTACTATGGAGACTAAGGAGCAGCCCAGTGAGGGACACGGTGAGCAGCTGTTTAAGGAAGCAAAAGATCAGGCAATGGGCAAAGGATGTTTTACTGAGAGAGAGAAGAAAGGGCTGCTCCTTGGAACTTCATGGCTAAGTACAGACAGTCAAAAAGCCTGAGGCTGAATTGATTTGATCTTTGCAGGTTTTCTTAAACTGCATAGATAGATAGGGCTAGGGAAAATATGGCCCATGGGCCAGATCCAGCCTATGGAGGACTCTGTCCAGCCCGTGGTGGGTGCCTTGGTCCCACTTGGCCCAGGTGCCATCTGGCTTATGGTATGTCCTAGCACCCCCTGAGCACACCATGTGATTGGGGCAGCTCTGCAGCTACACTACCTTTCTAGGCAGCCCAGGTGGCAGCAGCTCCTTCTGGCTGCCGCCACTGCTGGCCCCAGCCCCGCGGTGCTGGCGGGGACCCATGCACATAGCCACGCCCCCAGCCTGCCCCATGTCCACTCTGGACTTGCCTACCCATGCTGAGCATTAGCAGCACTGGCAGCAGTTAGGCAGAAACTGCAGCTCAGCACAGGGGAAAAGCAGCCCCTTCTCCTGGCTGCTGCTGGGACCTTCTTGCTGTAGCTATCCGGAGCCCTGCCTGGGCTACCCTATGGCTCCTTTGTGCTGCCACTGTTGCCCCACTGGGTGGCCCAGAGGCATCAGTGTTAGTGACAGAGAGGAGCTACAGGACAGCCTGGGTGCAGGCTCCAGGTGGCTGCAGCAAGAAGGGCCTGGCAGCGGGGGAGGGGCGCTGCTGCTCAGCATGGGAGGGTGGTCCAGAGTGGGCATGGGGTGGGCTCCATGCGTAGGTCTTGGCTGGTTTGCTCTGGTTGGGTTGAGTCTGGAGCAGGCATAGGGTGGGGTCAGGGCTGGGGCTGTGAGCTGTTGGCGGTGGTGGGGAGGAGCTGCAGAGTGCATGAACTCTGGGCTATAGTGGGGTGGGGAGGTGCTGACCAGCTGGCGGGGGGTGTGCATGTGTGTGTGGATCCCCCTCCCCCCCCACCATATGCACACCCTCTCCCCCACACACAATCAAACCCCCCACAAACACCATACCCACTCATACCCTCCCCCACACCCTCCCCACAGCCCCTTCCTGCACACACACCCCACCATACCCCACCACACATACTTCCAGCCCAACTACACCCTACACACAATATACAAGAGTAAGCCTTTATTTTGAGCTATTATGCAATCACCTCTCTATATACTATGCAAACCCACACAAATAAGGGCAACAATACTTTTGGAAATATAATATATTATATTATAGTAGATGTTTGATTTTTAGTATATGATTTGGGGTTTTTTTGATTCAAAGATGGTAAATCCCTCTTCTCAAAAGAAGTACTTCCGGGGGCAAAGGAGGGACTTCTGGTGGCAAAAGTTGGCGGTTAGGGCACCAGGATTTCCAGCCCCAAGATGGCAACTGGGTGGGGCACCTGTCAAGGGGCAGACCTACTGTTGCGGGCCTCGACAGTTCACCAAAACTTGTTAAGCAGCCCTCCAGTCGAAATAATTGCCTTCCCCTGCTCTAGCACCCCCTGGCTCCTAGCCTGAGCCACTGCAGGAATGTGGCTGCATTTCCAGAATCAAAAGTGAATGTCTATTCACTTGCAAATCAGTTCAATCTAGGCAGATTAGACTAACCTGCAAAGATTGAATCAAGTCAGGCTAGGGCTTTTTGAATGTCTGTACTTTACCTGTGTGATAGGTTATTCTGGGGCAGGGAAAATTCTAAATCTTTCACACTGACAGTGTTTCACTTTGTGTAAATAAATATTCCCTGGGACAGAAGTGGCCAACCTGTGGCATTCATACTGGCCTCTGTGTGAGGCATATAGCAGAAAGAGAAGGGAGCACAGCAGCAGATAGGGCAGGGAGCAGAAAGCAGAGTAGCAAATTGGGAAAGGAGAGGAGATTGGAGTGGCACTTGGGGAGGGTCTAGGCTTAATCTGTGGTGCACCTACCTAAAAGGTTGGGTCCTACTGCCATTGGACATGGACTAGAAATCAGGACGCCTGTCCTTTCAGTAAGCATCCTATCACCAGCCTAAAAATATCTCGGATCCAATTTCTTTCTGATTCAGGGCAGGGATTTGAATCAAGATTTCCCACAATCACTGGCGATTTGTAGGGAGGGGGTGCATGTGCACCCCCTGATTGTGGTGGTGCACCCCCTATGAAAAGGTGCCGCCAATACTGTCAGCAGTGCCTGCAGGTGGTTGCCACTCACCACCACCCCCACTATCACTGACACCGCCGGCGGCATCTGCGGGTGGTCACCAACCCCTGGTGGGCACTCACCACCCTGCCCCCCTCACCCCGCTGCTGACAGCGCTGGCAGCATCTGCAGGAGCTCACCGCTTACTGCTGCTGTGTTCCCACTGTTGCCATGCACCCCTAGCTGCTGAGGGCATGTGTCATTCATGCCCACAACTTGGGTAAGAGTCTTAATTCACTGAGTTTCAGGAAATAAGTGAGTCTCCTTCAAGTCCTTCTGTTGACACTGTTCCACTTGGTATAAAATAATTAATGAGTCAGAATAAGGCCGGTAGTTAGGATTCTTGCTTGGGAGGTAGGACCTAGATTTTAGTCCCTCCTCAAGGGAAAGTGATGTTTTCTTTTAATATAAAGTGTAACAGTATCACAGGAAAGATGTAGAACTTTTATTACCCCAGCATACACTGTAGTCTGAGAGTAAGGGCACACTCCCAGGATATATGGGTTCTAAATCCCCTTAGGTGTAGAAGAGAATTAAATTTGGACGCTTTGTATCCTAGATGAATGCTCTAACCACTGACCTATTTGGCAAATGTGAATACTGCTGTGCCTCCATATGTTTTTCTCCCGGCTGGAACTCTGGCAAACTCTTTGAATAGTTTCAGGGCCATCAAAACTCCATTTTTTTCAGCTAATGGAAACTTTCCAGAAATAAAAAATCATTCTGATCTATACATTTTAGATACATGGGTTTGGATCTGAAGCAAAAAGTTTTCCCTGTATCTTCCCATCCCTTTTGCACTGCTCAAGGACTGCAAGAAAACTAGAGCAAAACATATACATTAAAACTGTAATACACTTAATTTGAATCTGGGATATATGGGAAAAGGGCTGTACCATGAGAATGGAGTCGTATTTGATTTAGAGCCATATTCTCTTTCACTTTTCTGTGCTTAATACCATTTGCTTAGCTCCATAAGTGCCAAAAACGTATGCAAATTTTAGTTTCTATTTCTATTTACATATCTGTGCTTCCCTTGTGTTTGCCTTCTGAATGGGATCAAAACTAAAGTCTCCACTTTGGGCATTTGCAGTATAATGTAACAAACGTGCACAGTTTCAGAGTGCTTTTAACATAGCTGATCCTGCAAAAATGTAACCCTTGACTGATGAAATATCAGATGGGGTGCTCTAAGGCCCCCTGGTTAACCTGGCTCTAAGATTAATTTTGGGCAATTCTGCCTGCATCCAATGCAGCTTTGTGAGCTGGTGAACATCAGCCCAGCCCTGCCTCTGGGGGTGTGACAGAGAGAAGACAGAAGGCCTCTGTCTTCTTCCCACACAGCATGGGAAGATGGGGGTGGGGGAAAGAAGCCCCCCCCATGCTTGCCCCCCCTCAGCTACTCCTGCTGGTGTCTGGGGTGCAACCAGGCCAGGCCCATGAGGTGGGGGTGCTCTGTTTCCACCCGTGCCCCAGCTCTGGGTATGGCAGCCTCTGCCACTGTCAAGAGGCTTGTGCAGGGGGAGGGAAGCACCCCCCCCCCCCCCCCTGTGGGCCTAGTTTAGCTTCCCCCAAGACCTCAGCAAAGGTAGTGGGGAGGGGACATGCACAGCAGTGGAGACTCCGTCCCTCCCCTCTCCTGCCCCAGTCACTACTGAGAGTTGCCAGCTTGGTGTGTGTGTGTG